TGGGTCCTCGCCTATGAGGGGTTTGCCTGATACAGTTAGCAGTCTAATGAGGATGCAGGTACGGGTTTGTGGTTAGACTGCTCATGTGTGTTGGTTACCTTAGGCTCTGCTTTGGGGGGGCCAAGGACCTGAGGTGGGATGGGGTCCCCTTTGGGGGGACGGTTGGCTTGGGACAAGCTCTGCTGGAGGATATCGGTGGGGAACCTACAGTAGGGGATTGTCTTAAGGGATCCCGGTAGGAGGGGTGTTAGTAGACAGACTCTGTTGGAGGAAATTGTTGGGGAACCTGCAGTAGGGGCTGTCTGGGGGGGATCCTCCGAGATAGGACGGTCTGCGTCCCATAAATTAGTTGCTGACTGTAGATAGGTACCTGTCGTGGGTCCAGAAACCGACCTCTACAACACCCTGGACTTAAAAAATAAAAAATAAAAAATAAAAAATAAAAATATTCATTTGATAATTAGAAGTACTTAGAGCAATAAAATGCCAATAATTAATATTCAGTTGATAGTTAGAATAATATTCTACTTGGTAATTACTAATTAGTAATTACTTCTAATTATCAAATGAATATTAATTATTACTATAATCAGGGTAACGGGCGTTTGGGACGGGCCGAACGACCGAAGCCGAACGCCCGAACGTACGGGAACCCTTGGGGATGCATTCGGCCGTTCGGGCTGAAAGCAGACCGGAAAAAAAAAAAAAAAAAAAAAAAAAACCTGAAAAAAAGACTATGTTATGAAGAAAAATAAAATAAACAACATTTGCCTGAGCACTACATCCAAATTCCTTACCAAATTTGAAATAAAAATAAAATACAGAAAATAAAACTAATAAGAAAAATATTAAAATAAGATAAAAATGAAAAGAGAATTAAAATTAGTGAGTGAGCGACCACGTTTTCGACACCGGCATCTTCGGCGATTTTTCATTTTTGTTTGGCACAGCCAAATGCCCTGAAAATTTACATTTGTGTACTTCACATAATACAAAACTCGTTAAAAAAGTGCAAGGAAAATGAACAGAAGCGAGATGACAATATTCAGATTGCACAATCACATTGAAAGCCAAATCGTAACACAGTGGTCAGGAAGCAGCATTGCACCAATATAACACCAATGGAGAATCGTAGCACTGAAAGTCAATGTCAATGAGTCTCTATCTCCCTACCTGGCGCTCGGTGCCCAGCCTACTCCCTACACAGCTACTAGTAGCCTATGAATTGACAATGCAACTGTTGATGTCAGCAGCACCCGAAGTACTTGAAGATGTCGCCCATGCAGAATCATCGCCAATACCAGGTATGTGCCCTCACATCATCATCATCATCATCATCATCCTTCTCTCGCCCCCTTGACTCTCTCCCACGTCTCCCTTTGTTGTACACCCGAAGACCACCCCTGCGCCTCACTGTATGTCCAAACCCACAGCCAGCTATGGAGGCTGGGCTATGGCGCTGCCCTCAGCAGCGCCCTGCTTCACCACATGACCGCACGTGCGCAGCCTCTTGCTCCAATGCCAGCAGCCAGCACGCAAGCTATCGCTCCAGCAGCGCTGCCGCCAGCCAGCAAGTGCCTGAATGCCCTGGCCAGGCAGCGAGCTCTTTCCTATATGGAAAGAGCCTGCCTCGTTCGGCAGCCTGGCTGGACTGGCCTGGGCCCAGAAGCTTCCGGTAGGCCCCAGGATGCTGCGCCTCTGGTGCAGCTACTGGGCCTCATTCGGTTGGGCCTCCCAACTGTATGTGTATGAGGCTGCGAATCTGGCCCAGGGCCTGAGTTTTTGGAAAGGCCTGGAAGGCCTGGGAATTTCCACGCTGCTCGGCCTGTGTTTCCCTTCAACCAACTGCCGCAACGAAACTGCCTGGATCCCCAAATGCGAAATTGACAACCAAGGGCCTCTCGTGATTTGTTAGGCCCGCCTTCACTTAGGGCGGGCACTCTTGCAACAGGGGCCCCTCAGGCCTGCCGAGGACCCAGATCCTCGCAAAAGTTTCAAAAAATAATAAAATTGTTTAGTCCCCGCAATAAAGTGAAAACCAAAAATAAAAAGTGAAAAAAAACAAAATAGTGAGTGGGCGAGCACGTTTTGACATCGCCATCTTTGGCGACTTTTAATTTTGGTTTGGCTTGGTAAAATGACTTCAAAATTTATAGGTATGTACCTTACATCATAGAGAACTCACCAAAAAAAAAATCAGAAAAAAAAACTTATTTTTACGCCCCGAAATATTTTTTGGCAGGGGCCGAACGCCGTCGGGTACGGACCCTGAACGGGACCCCGAACGCCCGTACGTACGGAGCCATTGTTCTTTGATATGCATCAAAAAAATCAATGAGGTATTACTTGATGTGTGTAGTAAGAAACATTGAGGGCGGTGGTCGATTCTACAGATCGATTTGATAGTTAAAAAAATAGTTGTTGGTGTTAGGTCACACTGCCTAAGATGGCTAAATTAAGCATATAGATCTGGATGACGTTCTTAGACCACGACGTTTTTTAAACCTCTTGACGAGATTGTAGCTCGATTTATCTAGGCATAACCATGATTGTAGTTGTATGTTTTTTTTAATGAGGCATTATAAATATGTCCTTCTTCTTTCTGCTAAAAAATATGAATCCCCCTCTTGAAACACCCTCTTTGCTACCCTCCCCCTTGCTCAAGACGGATTGATTGCCTTCTTCCACAAAATAAAAATGTTTATGGCATCGACTCTTCCACAACAACGACCACTACAATCGACTACTGGTTATCCACCTTTCCTCCTGTATATCTATTATGAGTAAAATTTACGTTATAGTTTGTACCTAACTCACCATAACAATGAAAAAAATTCCCAGAATTAAATAATCATTCTATAGTAAAATTACAATCTAAATTTCAAATTTTCATTCCATCTTAAAAAATGTCATTCCAATTTTAAATTTTTTTATCTTACTTGCAAACTTTCATTCCAAGAATAAGGTATCCCTTCTTATTTTGACTGCATTGGATGAGTTCATGAAATATGTTAATTGGACTGTTATTCTAAATAAGGATTTTCAGTTATAAATAGGTTAGTTCAATCTAAATTATACGATATTTATTGTAATAGAATAAAATTTTAATTAAAACATTTCATAAACTCTGTCTCTTATACACATCTAGATGTGTATAAGAGACAGTCAATAAATAGATGCAGTTGAAAAAAAAAGTTCATATTTAGACAGGAACTTATCAAATAAAACTGAAAATTTTAGAATTTGACGAACATTGGAATGATAATTTACAAATATGAAGGATTATTTTTTTATGGAATGTTTTTTCAACTTTTGTTTCTCGTGGGAATTTTTTTTTTGAATGATTTATATTTATTATTTTAAGTTACGAAAATAAAAAAACAGAAAGGTGGTGAGGATCAAGTAAGTATTCAACATTAATATATTAATATAAACATATTATTTATTAGTTTAAAAAAATATAAGTATATCTTGTGTAACTTCACCTGGTCGTATATAACTAACATGCATTTTTGCTCCCAAAAACCTTTCATAAAATTCTAACATTTTTTCTAGTTTTTCAAGTTCAACCCCACGTGCATCAATGAACATTCAGATGAGAGTTCACACGTGAGAAGCCAAATCGAGATACAATCAACACTTGAAGATGCCATCTCTAATATTATTAAGAATATATAGGAATGTCTGTCTCCAGCGGCTCTGCCGCTCACACACACACAACAGATCTCAATCAGGTGGCGGCTATGGCTTCTCTACGTTCTCTCTCCCTCTGTCTCGTCTTGCTTCTCTCTCCGACTTGGCTCGCTCTGCCTCACACTCTCTCTCTCACTAGCCTAGATCGTCACCCTGATACACCCATTCAGGTAAGCTTACACCTTGGTGGCTATGGCCGCCGTCCTCCTGATCTGCCCCTACCCTAGCTATGGGGTCACACGCGTGAGCCCTCTTCTTCCTCGGGCACGCAGTTCCCAAGTTGCCGTAACGCACAAGCAGCAGCAGCACTTCTGCATCTCACAACTGAACAAGTGATGAGACGCTGCAATGTAGCAGCTAAATATAGGACTTGGCTTGGCTTGGCTTGGCTTGCCCTGCTTCGGACCGGTACCGGTCGGCCGCGGCCTGTCTGCTGCAAACATTTTGCTGGTCCGGTAGCTTCCGGACTTTCCTGGGACATGCTGCAAAATTGGACGCGGGACTGTCGGACTGGACTGGACAGTTCTGGAGTTTTCTTGTCGGGTACTGGACGGACTCCTACCGACCCACGACGCTGCGGTACCGACACCTACCGACCTACAATGCTTCGGCCTCTAGACCCTACGGCCTACCCTACGGAACGGCCCTGGGACTTGGGACTTGTCGGGAACCTGGGACCGGGACTGGGTGTCTGCAGCATGAAGCGTTTCAATTTATATTATATATTTAATTATTGGTATATATGACAGCATTAAGGCAGTTCAATGGAGACAACATCCACGCACGCACATGTTGGAATACAAGTACATAGACTATGTACTTGCATTCAAACATGTGTGTGCGTGGATGTTGTGTCCGTTGAACTGCCTTAATGCTGTCTTTTTTCGTGCCCTTTTCATCTCTGTCCGTCTCTGTGCTTTGTTTGGTTGGTACCATGACCACTGAGGGGAAGCAGCAAGCTATTCTCTTTGTTTTGGCCCCCATTTCACTATTCTTGGTCCATCCGGATGTGACAAAATGCATGCGTGGATGGTGTGTCCGTTGAACGGCCTTAATGCTGTCTTTTCTCGTGTCCTTTTCCTCTCTGTCCGCCTCTGTGCTTTGTTTAGTTGGTACTGTGACCACTGAGGGGAAGCAGCAAGCTACATGTAATGAATCAAACCATCGGTTCACTTCCAGATGGCAATCATAGCCACAACTAATGTGAAAAGTCCTGGATTGGATCCATAGCGACAGCACTGTGAGAAATTGTCAAGGTATGTTCTGACATGTGTTGTCATCCTTGTGCCCGCACTGGTCAATTTCAGGTCCCTGCTCATACCCCCTCTTCCCTGGGCACTGTACTCCAGTTCTTCTGCTTCTTTTTCCGGAAGACTTTGCTGAGACTATGGCGCAAATGCAGGGGCACCATGGAGGTAGTGGCGGATCGAGGAGTGATGCTCCCGGGGCAGACGCCTTGGGGTCTTACGTGGCAGCAGGCATCTCAGCATCCCTCTTCAGTGCTAGCCTCGAGGACAGGCTGCAGATGCTGCTTGCGCAGCGGGGACTAGGCCAACAAAAGCTCAATGGAAGCATGGGGCTAGGTGGACTGTCGGGAGGGATGAGCGGAGTACCTGTACCAGAGGTTAAGGTCCTGGCATCTGCAACTCGTCTAGCTGCACCTCTTAGTGTTGTGTCAAGGAAGAAGCTGTTGTCATCTCTTGACGCACAAGCACGGTTTCTGTTGAAGAAAACTCGTGCTGGGATGGACATAGCAGGCACAGGAGTTGGGGGGCTAGTGAGCTCCAGGAGTGGAGGGCTAGGCCTTGGGGCCTCTGGGCCTGGTGCAGCAGGGACTGGTACTTCCACGGCTGGTGGAATCGGAAGTGGTGGTGTTGGAGGAGGTGGGGTATTGTTCACACTTGACCCTTCTAGGGCTGTTCTGTTGATTGACCGGACTGCAAGCAGACGGCTTGGCGCCCTGGATGATGTGATTGACCTACTGCGTACGGGCCAATTTTCTTTAATGAAGACTTGGGAGAAGGGTGTGGAAGAGGGCAATGCCTCTGGCGAGGATGTCCAAGCCACTTGGGATTTCATTCAGAAGCAGGTGGATTCTCTTAGAGGAAAGGGTGGAGGAGGGGGTGCCTCAACTGGCAGTGTCTCGAGTTTGACGAGCAGCAACAACAAGACTACATCGGCTGCCACGGAATCCCAGGGCCAATCTTTGCAACTTCCTACATTGAAAACGTGGATTCAGATGTGCCAAGTGCTCTCAGCTTCTCTGGTAGAAGCTGCCACCAAAGAAGATGAGCTGATATACACAGAGGCTGTGAAGGATGTGTTGAGATCCAAGGTGGGTGCTACGTCGCAGGGAAAGCGAAGAACTGCAATGGGTAAGGCATCCCCATCAGGGCCTGAGTTGGGACTTACATGGCTTCCAACGGAGTCGGAACTTGACCTGAGGTTCTCAGCAATGCGCTGTAAACAGCTCCTGCCCTCAGCTATGGAAGTGTACCTGCAAGGATTACCTGCTCGCTACCCTACACGAATACACTTGGAGAGGGTAAGCATGGCGAAGAGTGCATTCTTGGCCATGGGAAGAGGAGTTGCAGTGCCTTCTTTCCTCAGAGATCTAGAGGAGGAGTGTGAGAAAGTCTGGAGAAGTGGTCGGCGACGCTGTGATGCGGTGAGTCTGACTGGACATCCGTGCATGCACGGTGTGCATGCTGCAATTGGGAGCAGAAGGAATGGGGTGCAGCAGGAAGGGGCTGACGAAGAAACAAAATGGGATGAGAAAAAACATTGCAGTGGAGTTGTTTTCCTCCATGCTTGTGCTTGTGGGCGTTCACGACGGTTGCGCGAGGACCCTTTTGATTATGCCAGTGCCAATTCAGAGTTTTACGAATTCAAAGGGTGTGAGGGTAAACTGCAGGTAGCAAACTTGCCGTCACGACGTCGATCTCCTGATGGAAGAGGAGGAGGAGGAGCAGGAGGAGGAGGAGGTGAGTGTTGGGGTTTGGTTAGACTTGGCAGCGCAAACTACTATTCTCCTGCAACGGGAGTGTTGCAGCCAGGTTTCGTCCCAGATGGGAATTTCTTGTCACCATGGAGGATAATGATCTCCCCTCAAGTTGAGGACAGTGGAACAGAGTCAGCAGATGTTCGTGGTGAAGGTTTCCCCGAACAAGGACGAATTGATGGGCAGGGATTCGGAATAGTCTCACAGGTCCTGAAGAGCGGCTTTAAGTTGCATGATAACCAAGTAGAGCTTCGAGGAGCCAACAAAGTGAGAGAGGAAGCACCAAAAGTGAAAAAGGTAAAGGAAAAAGGACTTCCTGACGGCCCCTGGCCAAGGGTTGGTGAGTCCGGAGTGTTGGCCATGGGCTCAGAGCAGGTTAGAAAGGGAGTGAGCAATGCGAAAGTGCTGAAGCTGGGAAGGCAGGCTGCAGTAGCTTCAGCAGCAGCGGGGGCAAGGGAGGGTATTGAAGATGATGATGTGACTGGGTTCCCACCGCTGCCGCTTGCTAAAGGACAAACCGTCCGATCGAAGGGTCTGCAAGAAGCAATTGGAGGAAAGGCGGCAGGCGGCAGGAAGAGAACAAAAGGGGTTGAGAATGTGGACAGCGCTGGAAAGGTGAAGGCAGATAGAGAGAGAGTTTGGGAGGAAGTGGAAGCGAAACTGCAGGAGAATAGCTCAGAATGTGCAGAGCTTGTTGCCGGCAAGGTTATGGGAACAGGGGACCAAGCAGGGTTGAGCGGTTTTTGGTGCACAGCCTTTATCGGATTTGAATACGAATGTCCGAGAGGTCACAGGTACTTTGCCAGGTTCCAAAGGTTGCAGGAGAAAGTGCAGCCTGAGTTAATGGGAGGGCAGGGAGGCACTCCAGTCTCAACATTCAGTCCCAATTCGCCTCATATCCAGAGCCGGCATCAGTATCAGCACCATGCTCAAAACCCTAATCAACACCAGCACCAGCACCATTTACAGCATCAGGGAAGCCCAAGCAACCAAGGCGGAGGAGGTCCAATGGAACCAGTCAGTGCTGGTGGCGCAGGGGCAGCCAATCACCACTATGCCCAACACCATGTGGGTGTTAAATTTGGTCGGCAGGAAGAAGACCATGGTGCTGGACCTGCTATGGCTGAGAGAAAGGGGGGGCAAAGCAGTTCGCGGGCAGGTGCTCTCCCCAGTGTCCCCATGGCAATGGGAGCCAGAGCTGCTAGACCGGCAACAGCAGGAAGAGGATTAGCTGGAACAACTTCGGCCTCGGGATGCCTGGGACAGCCCTCTGTTACAGCGGGACCAGCAAGGAATCACCCAGGTCATGGCATAAGTGGTTGGCCCCATGTCGATCTGATCGGCCTCAGGAACGAAAATATTCCTGATTCCACTGACAATGGATATATAGAAGCCAACAGGGACCAAAGCGCAAGGATAAGCCGTGGTGTGAATATTCATAGAGATGCAGAGTCTTTGCCATCAGCTGACCTGCCGCTGTATAGGGTGTGTTCGTACTGCAAGGCAGCAGGGAATGAGACAAAAGGTGCAGCAAGAGATGGGCTAGAGGGAGGGACTTTGCAGCTAGAGCAGGGGGAGGAGTGGGGAGAAGGGGTCTCTCAGCTACAGCGCATCTTTGTGGTAAGCTTATCTCAGAATCTCTGCCTCCGTCCAAGTCTCATCTGCTTTGTGTAGCTGTTTGTGTGTCTCTGTGAAGAGTCTGAAGACTGATCATCCATCTGTGTGGCTCATAAGCTTGCTCGTTCTCTCTTTGTATCTGCTCAGGCATCTTGGTTATGATGAACGAGGTGCTGGGTAGAGGACATGGGGGCTTTTTCCGTGCTCCTCGGCTTCACCTCGTCACTCGACCTTGTCCTTCCACCTCTCTGTATATGGATGTCATAGGATGATAGGAGTCACATTCTTACCAAACAGTGCGCGCTGCCCACTTGTCTGCCTTTTTCTCCCTTGCTCTGTCTGTCTATCAGTCCATTCTCTAATTCATCTTTTTGTGTAGCCAGTATCTGCCCATCGGCGCAGTTATTTTCTCATTCTATACAGCCGTTCTCACTCAGAGTATGAGATGCAGGTGTCAGAGGAGTCATATACTTACCAAACAGCGCACTCTGCCCACTTGTCTGCCTTTTTCTCCCTTGATCTGTCTGTCGATCAATCCATTCTCTCGTTCGGCTTTTTGTGTATCCAGCATGTGTCCAGCAGTTCATCCGCTTTCACTGACGTTGTCTTTTGCGTGCAAGCATGTTAGCAAGTATGTGTGAACTGATAGCTTTTTGACCCATTCGCTTTTCACTGCCCTGTAGGCTGAAGGTGCCTATTGACTTGAGGGCCCATGAGGATTGAAGGTGCCTATGGGCTTGAGGGAATGTCTGAAGACTCTGAACACGGATGCTCGGTTTTGCATTTTTTATGTTAGTTGGCTTTGCGTCTGCTGTGAGAGCTCATATCATGTGGGTCAACTGGGGCTCCTTATATCTGAAGGTATTAACATTGCCTCCGCGCTGCGCTTCATGTCTGGCTCTCCCATTTGTCTGCAGGTAACGCCGCCTCACCCGCTTCTTCTTGGATCGAATCCATTGGTTGAATTTCGGGTGAGATTTTCTGCATACGTTTGGCGCACATTAGGAAAATTGACAGGAAAACCTTGGTGTTCAGGATGGATGTTTGATGGCTGTACAAACACCCCCCGGAACCACCTACCTCATTTTGCCCATTTCCAGTCTTGGATGTACATTAACAAAGGTATTGGACCCTCCAACATGCTATGTCCTGCTGCTGTGTGGCAGGCCAGCTTAATTTGGCGGTTGCAAGTCTTTTGCAACGTAAACCTGCAGGGGAAAAAACACCGCTGTAATGGTGTGGTGCCATTGCACTCATGTTTTTGAACGTTGCACCACCAAATGTTTTACTCAGAAGGAAAAGGAACCGTTGTGAGACGTCGTTTTGCTATTTTGACAAAAAGAAGGTGGCAGCGGGGTAACGTATGATGTTAGTGATAAGGTTGCCTATGGATGGCCCATCCCTGCTGGCAGTAGTTTCGGTACACTTGTCCACTGCTTGTCCGTTGCTAGCAAGTGGCACTTTTCGGGACATGCATCGTAATCTTTGCAACCGTCTTTGTGGCTTATAGACTCCATTACACTCTACCATCTTCACCCGAATACAACGTACGGTCATTATTATTGCTGTATCTAGATTCAAAGATTCCCCGAATACAGCTATAACGACCGTACTTTGTATTCGGGTGAAGACGGTAGCACCGAGTAGCCACTGAGACAGAGTCACCCTACCCTCCGTTGAGACGGCTGCGAGTTTGTTATTCTTTGTCCAAGTTCTCCGAAACCTGGAGACCAACCTTGCAGAACCCCTTGCTGCTTTGTGCCAGTCCGCCCTTTTTTTTTTTTTTTTAAACAGGCCCTTATGGTCCTGGCTCTTCCATTCTGGGGAGCATCAGTCCGGTTCCTATTCCACCGGCAAGTCAGAATAACAGGATACATCATAAGTACTCACCCACGCTTCCTTCCGTCCGGCCGAAGGACCCCTGACCAGCATTGATTGCTCCAACATCGTGGAGGATTGACTGTCAGCTTGCCCTTCTTCATCCTTTCCTCTCAGGTCTACTGCGAAAGCCTGTCGTATTTACCAACCTGATATTGGCTTTTCTCCAGTGCTGGGCCGGCAACCGGCCGGTTGAGCTACCCCGGTCCAACCGGAGCCGGACCAGACCAGGGGGGGTGAACCGGGAAACCGGTTTTGAAAAAGAAGTGCCCAAATATCTTTTTTTTTTTTGGGGGGGGGGGGCAGATTCCGACTGCGCTCTTCAAGAGCTGTCCGAATCCGCAATAAATTTTTCAAGGTACAACATTTTTCAGGGGGCTTCCAGAGGGGGGCAGGGGGTTATTATTGACATATTCAGGCAACTATGGCTTCCTTGGGGAGGGGTCAAGTAAGCAAGTTCACTTATCCGACCTCCCCGTGGCTGGAGCACTTCGTGGAGTATGGCATTTGATATTGATACCCCACGAGCTGAACCAGATATGATGAGAGGAGGTCCTTGCCCGAAGTTATAGCTCTTCCAGAGTATATTTCGACAGCAGGAAAGTTATGGTTCCAGCTTTCTGCTCATGGAGGCAGAGCGTTTTCTGTTTGTTGGTTCCTACATAAGGTGAGTTGTTGTCAGTCCGGAAGTATCTTGCCTGGCAGTCTGTCCATATACATGTAGTGGAGCAAGGTCCATTCGAGATAGATAGAGAGAATAATATGGGCCTCGCTGCACTACTCTCGAAATGTGCAAAACGAGAGTGAATCTTCCGCTAGAATTCGGAAAGATACACCGCCAAGATTTTTGTCTTTTGTGCATGTCGAGAGTAGTGCAGCGATGCCCTATAGCTTAGGTCCATTCTTGGGATTGCACCTCGGACGGCTCTGAAATCACAATTCCAAAATCCGAACCCATAACTTTTTCCACAGATGGCAGGGACGTCGCAGAAGGATATAATCTCAGCAGAGTCTCATCAGAAGCATAGTGTTCCCCTCATGGCTGAGGGTGAAAGAGCATCAGATGTTGCCACTGGTAAGATGACAAATTGGATTAGGGGCCTACCCGACCCACATCTTAGGAAAAATGCATGGCTGTTCTCCGCTGCTGATCTGCACAGATCAGCGGCGGATATCCTCTGCCCGTTTTTCTTATAGAAATGGGGTCCTGGCCGATCTTTGCCGCTGATCTGCGACGATCGGCGGCCAAGATTGGCCATTTTCTGTACTCGAAAAATCCGGGCCTACAGGACCCGGTTTCGAAATTGCGCGGCAGGGCCCGCCCACACGAGGCCTCGGGAACACATACGCGTCGACAAAAAAAAAAATTCAGCCCCCAACGAAAATGCGCTGGGGGCAACCGGGAGGGAACCGGCCCGGGCCACCGGCCGGTCCAACCGGGAGGACCGCGGATGGGGTAGGGGTCCCCAGTCCATCCGGGGACCAGCCCTGCTTTTCTCTGCATTTTCTGTTGACGAGTTGATATGACCTGCCCTCTGAAGATTTTGGAGTTCCTTGCGTGCCACAGTACTGCGAAGATAATGCCCCTCCAGACCAGCGCCACATACACCCAACCATCTTTATAGGTATTCCTGCTTTAAATTAGGCCATACTGTATCCGATCATCAGTTCAGCTGAGGGCCCCACCTGTATTCAACTGCGAGTGAAATTTCCGTCGCTCCCAGATTTCATCTGGCATTGGACATCTTCTCCTATTCTGGGGAGCGTCAGTCCGGTTCCTTGTCCACTGGCAAGTCCAATCAGTAGTTTTATTTCGAACGAGTCTCACTTCTGTCTGCATCCTTGCAATACAGTCTAATCCATCCCCTACTTTACCTACTATCTAGTCTGCCACATAATTTCCATCTACAGCGTTCTTACTCCTTTACCCACATCGACTCGCCCCACCGGCAAGTCCAATCAGTAGTTTTATTTGTCCAATCAGTAGCTTTATTTGGAACGAGTCTCGCTTTTGACTGCATCCTTGCAATACAGTCTAATCCATCCCCTACTTTACCTACTATTTAGTCTGCCACAGAATTTCCGTCTACAGCCTTCTTACTCCTTTACCCACATTGACTCACACCTACCACCTTACCCTTTTCGTTCCTAATTTCATCCTGTGAGCCTTTTAACTCCTGATGACATACCGGAGATCCCTTCGTCTGTTGATTGTGACGATTCCACAGTTGTTGAGTCTTCTGAGATGGAAGATGGACTTCCCAGAATCAGACATGTCCATATGAAGGTGCCTGTTTTCTGATTGATAATGACGACATCATCAAATGGCTCCCATGCATTTACAAAAGCATTGAAAAACTTCCATTCTTCTGCAAGTGCTTTCATTCTTTGCGTGTCCCTTTACACCAGGCCGGTGGCGATGATCCTCGTCCCGCTGGCCTTATCCAACTCCTCATTGTAGTCTGTTGCCAGGCTCGTAGCACTTTCCTTACACTGGATCCCGATGCAATCCCCACAAGAAACAAGTTCTATTCCAGCCACAAGCATATGCAGTGTGTAGCAACCAAGCATTCCGGCTATTTCTCCCCCCCTTTGTTTTGTCCTAACCGGCTTTTGCAAAACATACGGAACAGAGATGGAGGGAAGGAGTAGGAAAGAAGGGTTTTGGAAGAAATGAGACACGCGTGTGGAGTGTAAGCTTGGTATGGTCTCGTAAGGAGCAGAACGGTCAGAACCCTTTTCAAAAAACTGTTTCTGGTTGTGTTCTTTTCATTTCGGTGCAATAAAGTTGAATAAACTCAGTCCATAGCCACACCGTCGCGGGCAAGGGTCAAGACCAGAAACAGGGGTCAAAGGTCACCTCCCAAGTCTGAGAAATGTCTAGGAAAGGGCCCAAGGTAAGGGCCCAAGGTCAAGCAAGGGGTATCACGCCCTGGATCAAAAACACCGTCCAGAGACCCCCCGTGAGGTAGTTGATTCTTGGAAAATCAAGAGTCAGACCAAACACGGGAAAGCAGGCCTAAAGTCAAAGTCAACCCAGTAGTCAACCTCTTCCATAGATCAGATGCACATCAATGGTTGGCTGCAGGTATCCGGAAGATTCCAGTCTCAGCTGGTAAAAGGTACCGCTGCTTCAAGGCTGCATCCAGGCCGTCAAGACAGGCAAATCTGGAGCGTCGACACTATCAAAGGGGAGACTGGTCCACGCCAGTCAACACTGGTAAACGCTAGAAAAGGACAGTCAGACACTGGGGAAGACATTCTGATGGTAGTGCTGTATCGTGAGGCTGCTGTAGCTGGATGCTGGCGCCAGATTCTGCTAGTGTGCACCAGCCTAGAGGGAAGATTATGTTGGCGCGGCCATAGCCATGTAGATGTAGACTAGGTGATGAGCATTGGCGAGGAGGAGGATGATCAGGGCTGTGAGACTGAAGGGAGATGTGGGGAAGCTTACCTGGGCTTCCATCACAGCCCCACATCTCCCTTCAGTCTCACAGCCCTGATCATCCTCCTCCTCGCCAATCCTCATCACAGCCCGGTTTTGAAATTGCGGGGCAGTTTTGAAATTGGGAGATGATCAGATCTGCTGCTGTCTCCGTGAAGGTGAGGAAGTGCTGCGCCATCCTCCATATCTGATTGCTGACGTGGAGGGAGGATGGGCCGCCGTCTTATGATCTGCACAGTAACTATGTCAGAAGACATCAGAGGGAACATGCATTGCTGAGGTGGCGATGGAGGAGGAGCCCGACGTGGAAAAGGGAGAGAGAGAGAGAGACATACATGTACTATTGATCGTCATTGGGAATCTCCTCCTCTTCTTCTCTATCTTTTCTCTCCTCTCTCTCCCCTCTCATGCTCTTCTTTGATGAGACGACGCTCTTGAGTTGTGCATATGATCGAGACATGGACATGTAATTGATGTTGGAGACTTCATGAGCAGTGCTGGGTTCAGACTCCTATTGCGTTGCTAAGTGGCTTCTCAATGTGACTGGGTTCATTACATCGGTTTTAAGCAGAAGAAAAGGGTTCAATCATTTCAATGTTAAACAACCAGCAGGAATCCCCTCCTTCGAAACTTCTGATGGCACACAAGAAGCCCATGCTTTACCGACTAAATGCTGGTCAAGGACAGTTTGCTGGAGGCCTTTTTCAGTATTTTACTCTGTTTACAGCGCTAGCACAGTGGACCCCAATTTTTTTCAGGAAAATTTGGGGTCCACTGTGCTAGCGCTGTAAACAGAGTAAAATACTGAAAAAGGCCTCCAGCAAACTGTCCTTGACCAGCATTTAGTCGGTGCGTACTCTGTTGCGCTGAGGGAGAAACAAATGAGAGGGGTAAAGAAGGGCTCTGCCTTTTTTTCATCGCCGGACCATCACTCTGGCTCCCTATCCACTTGTCAGCTGGCAAGACCAGTGAGGCCGGGAACACTCGCATAAGCCCGTTTATCAAGGCAATATTCTAAGTCCCTTCCCCCTAGGATCGTACTATGCCTTCTTGAAGTGCTTGATGAGATGACAGCTCGATGAGGCTGGCGTTCTGAACACACGAAACAAAAAGAAAGGTCAGGGAGCATTACGCAGCTCACCTATGTGGATTACTCTGAGGCCACTGAGTTCGGTACCAAAGTTCCGTATCTCCGAAAACTTAACAATTTACCTAAATGTGCAGAGGTTCCAAATCTGGTCTTGTCATCGTTTCTTTTTTTTTTTTCTTTTTTTTTGAACTTTTTTTTTGAACTTTTTTTTTGAACTTTTTGTCATAATCAAATCACACGTCCTGATCCTAGTGTCTTGTCCATTCTGCAGAGCATCAGTTCAGTTCCTTTTCCACTGCCTTATCTTTCTGATACCCAGCAAGCGGTGGCCTTTTGTTTTCGACACTGGTTTTTGTTTCTTCTTTAGTGAGAAGTGCACTTCCTAAAAGTATGTGTCTTTTGTGGGCCTGCAACAGGAAATTGAAAAGTGTGCCGGGAAAAGCCTCGAGATGATGGCCGCACCTCACGTGCAGAATCAGCCCGTCTCCACTCCTTACGCACAGCAGCAGCAACAGCAGCAAGGATTACCGATGTTGGCTCAGCAATTTCAGCCCTTGCGGTATAGAACGCACGACTTTGGAATTGGGTGTGAAGTTCTCCTTCCGCCTGATAGTTTCCTCTGCCTGCGGCTGCCATTTATATACTCTGTGGGTGCTGCAAACGACATCCAGAGACCACTAATGTACTGGCCTGAAAAACCTGAGGTATCTGGGAGGGTAGTTGCAGGCACGGTGTTGTATGTTGCAGGAGGAAGGCGGTCAGGAGAAAACGGAGTTGTTGAAGGGGCTGTAAAAGGCGGGGGGGGGAGTTGAGGAGCAGTGCCAAACGTCTGCATGTCGCTGTTCCACGGGACGCGAACGACTCTTCACTGATTAAGTGCCAAGAAGCTAAGGATTGAACTTTCATCCGTTGCCGCCAGGGAAACGTGAGAGCGGAGGTGTTTGATGGGTTACCCCATACATTTGCCTGCAGGAAACTGTTGTTATTCTCAGAAATTGCGCAGTTGAACCTATACAGTGTATACATCCATCTGCAAAAGTGGCATTCTTTTCAAGAACTGCAAAGGTGACGGGTGCCGAACGGATAAGTTGTAGGCAATAATTATTTGTTCGTGTGACGAGAGCTTGTGGATGCTTTTGAAGCAAGCATATAGAGAATCCTGATCCTTCGTTCTTGTGGCGAGCTTGTGGATGCTCGTGAAGCAAGTATATAGAGAATCCTGGCCGGAAAACAAGGGCACGAGGTGTAGCAGACAGGGACCTTGCCCGTGCCCTGCAGCAGGTGTGGGACTTGCTGGTGACCAAACTGGAGGGGGAAGGGAACATGCTGGTGCCCTGCGACAGGCATGGAGCATGCTGGTACCCTGCACAGAGGGCATGGAACTTGGTGGTTCCTGCAGCAGCTTATCTCGAGTTTCGGTTTACTGCTGTGGATCTGAAGATGCTGTGAATGGGAAACTGGGAGCAAATCCATGACAGTATGCTACAGAAATTTCAGTAGGAGTCACGGCAGCGCGACAAACAGAGTTAAAAGAGAGGATGGGGTGTCAACAGAGAGTTGAAACAGAGCAACAACAGCGCATCTGTGCGAAATTGAACCAGAGGGGCTAGTCACATCTCAGCAAAAGTTGAAAGAGAGGATGGCAGCAATGAGTTTCAGCACAAATCAGACAGCATAGCTACAAAGTCTCTACAATAGCACAATTGCTATTAGGTTGCCTGTAGCAATATGATCAAGAAGAAAAGAAGGGATGTCATGTGCATGGACAAGATCCGTCAAGGTGAGAAAACAAACAAACAAACAAAACCAAGCCAAACCCAACCAAATCAACCCAACCCAACCCCAACCCAACCCGACCC